ACCATATTAAGCATTTGTTGACGCAAATCAGTTACACCTCGATGAATCTCGTTGGACACTTTCATCAATAACGCATTTACGCTATTTGGGACTTCCTCCACGTTGTTTCGCACTTTTCCCACATCGTTCGAGATATCTTTCTGCGTATCCCGAAGCGCGCGTATGATCATATCTCTCCCGGTAGTTTTGAACGATTTCTCCAATATCTCGTTAGTCACTACATTTTTCATTCGTGCAGTTACATCTCGAGTTAGATGTGTGACAGCGTCGGATACTTTTTTTTCCATATCACTATACACTTTTAAACTATCTTTCTGCATATCCTGAAGCGCGCGTACGATTATATCTCTTCCTGTCGTTTTAAACGATTTCTCTAACGTCTCCTTCGTCACTGTATTATTCATTTGTTGACGTAGATCAGTTACACCTCGTTGAATTTCATTAGTCTCCAACATTTCTTTCGTCGCTATGTTATGCAATTGTTGACGCAGATCAGTTACACCACGCTGAATCATCTCTTTCGTCACCATATTAAGCATTTGTTGAAGTAGATCAGTTACATTGTAGCCGGACTCGAAGCTTATTAGCGTTATTCGGTCCCACTTCATCTGGCATGCCCCGGTCGCCACTCCTTTTTACCCTCCAAAGGAGAAGCCTTCGTTCAGCTGGCCTTGGAAGTCTCCAGCCCCGCTTGTCCCTTGCACCACTGAGTCTACTCGCCCCGAGTTATCTCGGTCGCAGAGGGAGAGGTTTTTCGTTGAATAACAACTCACTGTTTGCAGGCAACTAACACAATTTGGTTTTATTTATTATGTTTTGGCAATTTGTTTTTTCACAATGCTCGCGCTTATTCGTATAACGCCGGACTCTTCGCGTGGGCGTGAACCCCCGTTCGCTCTAACGGTCGCTACTCTTGGACCTTATCTCGAAACGGTCCCGCTCACCACTATCGGAACGCCGCCGGTCGCCTCGGTTTTTCCCGTGGACAAACATCCCCAAATACGAAATCGACAAATGCCCCCGATCCGTGTCCCACTCAACCGCGCGCTAACTACTCTCCGCTCGTATCACTTCTCCCAGTATGGAGAACTTCTATCTATCGTTGCCAAGCGAAAAATCACTCTTTCGCTTCTTCGCTCGCCCTCTTATTCCTATCGCTCGTCCCCACTTTCGCGCCTGCGTCTGCGCGTTGTCGCCTGGCGCTGTACGCGCTCGCATCAGTGCGTTCGCTCTGCGCGCTGTGAGCACTCACGCTGCTTACTTATGTTACATAATTATGTCCCTGCATTATACAATTTTATCGTTTTTTATTCTAACCTTTTTCTTTTCTTTTCAAGTACTCGTCGACTCTGATGGATGTTGCCCCTGGAGGTCTCCCGCTGAAGTCATCGGTAAGTATATAATCTAAAATTTATTTACAGGTTCGCGAAATCCCCCAGCTGCACCCCCCTTTCTATGTACAGTATTTACATTAGTAAGTATCAGTCTTTTCGATGTCGCAACGAAACTTAACGTACACCCGGTATAGTTCTCGGGTTCGTATTCGGTGGACATGTTGTTTCTTCGACCTTATTGGTCGTAGCGGACGCGTTTTCCGATATCTTCAAATTCACTACGCTATAACAGGATTTAGAGTACACCCGGTATGTTGCGTGTGCTGATATTCGGTAGTCCCGCTCCTCTTATGTACTACGCGTCAATAGCGGTCGCGATTTTTGATATCTCAAAATTCATTATGTAAAAACAGGATTTAGTGTACACCCGGTATATCTTATACGCTCGCCTTCGAGTATTCCGCTCCTAATGCGTCCTAGTCGTCAATAGCGGTCGCGTTTTTTGATATCTTAAAGTTCATTGTGTAAAAACAGGATTTTTTGTACACCCGGTATATCTTTTTGGCCTAGAATTGGCTCCCGTATTTGTTTCTCGTCGTAACTGTACGTAACGGTCGCGTTTCCCAATCCCGTCGTTATTTTTATGTTAATTGTTAATTTCGCGGACCCCCTTTTTCTTTCCGGTCCTGATCGCGCTTTGACTTTTCGCGTGTTTTTACCGCGTCTATTTTTGATATTTCGGATTTTCCGAAACTATTGAGGCTACGCGCCTCTAACCAAATAAACTTTTGTTTTCGGCCCTTTTCTGATGGCCCATTAAAAGAAATAACGGAAAAGAGTATTACTATATTGCATTTTACTTAATCCTATTGGCTATATATATTTGTCTTATAACTAATCCCCTTTTTTTGTGTTTTCATATTTTTAACTTAAGCTTATTCGCTATCTATTTACATGTGTTTGCTCACGGGGTTTGATCGCCCGCGTGCCGCTCCGCAGGAGTCGAATCCGAGGGAGCTGGCGGAGGCTCCTCCCGGCTGCAAGGTGCGCTCGGATCTTTGATTGGTGGAGCGGCGAGCGTAGCGAGAGCTGTGAGCGATCGCAAGGCCGCTCGACGTCAGTCGGAGGGTCGTGGACTGTATCTAGCGCCCTACAAAAGTGGTAGTAGCGTGAGGAAGAGAAAAAAGACAAGATGTAAAAAAAAACATCGTGGGAGGAAACGTTAGAGGCTCTTAAAATACCACTCTCCGGTATCACGACGAACGAACAGTTGAGCCGCGCGCCGTATCGTTTGCGTTTACCATTCTTCAGAGGTGTGTTTATGCGTGACGCGTTACCGACGAAACCGTATCGAAACGAAAGTGGTATCGTGAACCTAGATAATTCGGAAAATGCTGGCACACACTGGGTTGCTTACGCAAAGAAAGGAAATAACGCCGTTTACTTCGATAGTTTTGGCAATCTTAGACCGTCAAGGGAACTCGAACTATCTAGGAAAAAGCTATCTCGGAAAAAACGTAACGTATAATCATCGCTCTTATCAGACGTTCGATCAGAGTATTTGCGGTCAATTGTGTCTACGATTTCTTCGAGAAATAGATTGGAAGAAAAAATATATCCAATAATAAGTCGTGTGAGTCATCTCAGTTGAACGTTCACCTTCAATCGCATTATGTCGTTGACTCTCGCGTTGAATGGAACAACCAGTATCCTCACGGCGAGTTACTTCCCTGCATTGGATTTAAGTAATGGTGAATACGAATTAAGTCTTACGAATTTTGAAACGTATAACGCAATACCGAACGTTACTTCCGCGAATAATAAATTCTACTTCGATAAAATAATCACAATTCCCAAAGGATCGTACGAATTGAGTGCTATAAACAGGTATCTGAGAGCTGCTATACGTCACGTACGACGACAAACGCTTAACGATAAAGGTAATAGTGACGATGAGTACATATTCGACGACGACGACAACGATAATGCTCATAAAGAAGAGATATTGATTCTTCGAGCCAATGAAAACACTATGAGAAGCGAGATTAAATGTGCGTATCGAATAAATTTTACAACACCGAATAACATCGGTTCGCTATTGGGTTATTCAAAATCGCGCGTATTACAACCGAACAGTGGTACGCGTCTGACAAACCTGTGAATATTATGAATGTAACTATACTTCGTATAGAATGCAACATTACCACGGGTGCGTACAATAACGATAAACCAGCGCATACGATACATGAATTCGCAGTGAACGTTCCACCTGGATATAAATTATCCGATACTCCCACACACGTCATTTATCTCCAAGTCGTCGCGAGAAACGTTACCGATATAACGATACGTATAGTGGATCAAAACGGACAATTGATAAACCTTCGTGGAGAAGAGATATCGATTCGACTTCATATACGACGCAGACGATGAAAATATGCGCAGATGCTCGTTCCAAACGAGTCATACTATTGTAAGAATACGTCCACCATACCGTAGACGTCGCAATTATCATCGCTCACCGAATGATACGTTGGAAGAAAACGGAGAGGAACGGAGGAGAGATTGAACGCTGCGAACATCAAATTTCTACGGTCTCTGGGATTCGTCGTGAACAATGAATCGCGATATTCTAAACATAGGGGGTGAGTCTATCTTCGACGATCGTATCGTTCAGATCGAGACTCACACTTACAACCCATACGCTAACACCACATTCGGATACAGCGATGAAATACGAATACCTATACAGCATCAGGATCTGTACACGTTACCGTGTGAGAGTTTTCTCTACGTCGAGGGAAAATTTTCAACGACAAAACGAGATGGAAACACATCCGAGGAACAACCTCCAAAATTGTCGAATAATTGCGTC